AGCCTTGTGGTCAGTCAGCCAGGCTTACTGTGGTCCACTGCACTGCAGAGTTCAGTGACACCCAAACTGCAGCATGGTAGTCTTGGCCCTTAGCCTTATTTAAGGGTTTGTGGTGGATATGGGGACCTGGGGGAGTATATTAAAACATTTGAGTGGCATTGGGAAAAAATAATTGAAATAAAATGTTAAAGACAAATTTACCTAATTTTAAGAATTTCTCCACATTAAACAACTTTTTGATGTAGGGCTACCAAGTGCCTTAGATTAGAGGACTATGCTGCATTTTTGGGGGGAAGGCTAGTAATAAATATAAACTCATTTATTTAGCAAAGATGCCCAATACTCTTGGAGAATGAGTTTCCCAGTAGTGTCACTGAAACCATCGAGTGACTTGAAAGTCTCTATGATTAGGATTGCTCTGCAGAGACTTTGATTTAATTGATCTGTGGAGGGCCTGGCCATGGAGATAGACTAGGTGCTCAGGCGATTCTAACTTTTCTCTGGATTGAATGCTGCTGCTCTGCGGTATTTGTTACTCAGGACACTTGGGTCTGTTGTCTATATTTGCAAGCATCAGAGGGAAAGGTTAGTATCCACCTGGCCCCTTCCAAAAAGGCCAACCAGGGGGCTTGTGCCAATAATTCGTAGAAGTCCCCATGCTGGTCTCAGGAGTCTGGACCTCCTCTCCAGAAGAGGGAAAGAAGAACCAAAGAATCTAATGCATGGCATTGGGATGAGGGACAGGTAAGATTCTGTGAAAGGGTGTTGTGACAATGCCTAATCAGTGTACTACAAACAGGCATCTGACAATAATGGTCTTAAAAGAGAAGTTTCTTAGGTTCAGGGATTTAGCTCAGAGGTTCTGCCGCCTGCCTTGCAAGCAAAAGGTCCTGAGTTCTATTGCCAGTACCAAAAAAAAAAAAAGGAGAGGTTTCTTTGAGTTATTTTCCTTCCAATGGATAATGAGATGTTCTCATACGTAGTTGATTCTCATTGTGTGTGGGAGTTACTTTCTGTAAAATTACTGTGAACGCTGAATTAGGAAGAACTCAGTTATTGCTCCTAGAGGGGACTGTAGGATAGGTTCCTGTGAATTTCTGGCTACATTTTCATCAACTGATCAACTGTTTTATATGTTTCTATTTAAGGACACCTTATTCCACACTTTTTAGAAAATATTGCTGAAACAAATTATTTAACCAATCAGTGAGTACTAATAAAGTATTTTAAAGTACCTTGCAGGCCTTTGGGGAAGAACACTAGAAAACAGATACATACAAGCAAGTAGTGCCTCCCAACAAAAAACTTACTATTTACTGGTAGTTAAGAAGAGAAGGCTAAGAGGAGAAAGGAAGATGAACAATGTCTAGGTACTATATCTAGGTTTGATTTAGAAGAATTGAGCACTATGAGTGCTGAAGATGTCTAGAAAATGTTACTAATAATAATGGTTTTAAAGAAAGCTTCCCTGAGAAATGAAATTTTCATTGGATCTTAAGGAGGAAAGACAGATACGGAGAATGGGTAGAGGACATATTCAGGATATATGAATGCTGCTGAGAAATGGGAAGGACAATAGTTGTTTATGAATAAGAATAAAAGTAGTTAAGAGTAGTGAGGCTGAATGCAAGCTCAGGTCTGCCTGATTTGTTTTCCATTCTAAGAGGCACTTTACCGAAAACACTGACAGGCCATCCCAGATGGATCAATCATTTTCAAAATATTTTACATCTAGTGTCATGTGCTATGTTCCTGTAGCCAGTATGGAGGACTCATTTGTAATAGTAGAAACCTTTATTTAGGGCCAATACATTAAAGAAGTTATCCTGGAGAAAAGTCCAGAATGTGGGCCTTCTAGTGAGTTGCCCTATAGGATCCTTGACAGTCTTATATGCCTGACACCATCCTAAGTAACCCACCTGCTACTCCTCAGCAGGAGCTGATGCATACTAGTGAACGTTATATGGTATAGCCATCCTACTTTTTCCCTAATGATGGAAACATATGCAGAAAAGTACATTGTTATGTGATTTTATCTCTATTTGAATATCAGACTAATTTACATAAACCAAGCAGGTCTAGGTTAATTAATAAATGTAGTTTCTCAATGCAATCAAGAGAACTGGTTAACATGATATGGACAAGGCTGCTGCCAGCATGCAATGGCATATGTTTTACAGTAAACTTTCTTAGAAGTAGGAGAATACTCTAAAATAACGATAAGTACAGTTTAGCAAATATATAAACTAGTAACAAAATGATTTATTGACATTAGCAGGTATCTTATACTGTACGTAATTGTCTGTGCTATACTTTTATGTGATTACCAGAATAATAGGTTTGTTGATACCAGCATCTTCACAAACACCTATTGCCTTGCAACTTGATGTTACAAGGCTACAATATCACTAGATGATGGGAAATTTTCAGCTCTATTATAATCTTATGGTCATGATTCTTCTTTTGTAGATTCCCAAAACACTTTCATATGTAAAGTTTAAAACTATGAATTTACCTGTCTTGTATATAGGAGATACTTGGTACCAGTGATTATGAAGTTCTAAAATATTCCATGATATTAAAAAATACTCATTTGGTACTAATGATTAGAATATATATATTTGTTGAATGGTGTATTACTATAAATAATTGCTTGACTTTTTGTTTTACTTTCAAAACCCTAGCATTATTTAAGAAATGTATATTGAAACAGATCATATCTCCTACTGAAATAAAAGAAATCCTATGGGGCCACCTCCATATATGTGATCTGTGGTAGACAGACTGAATATAGAAGTATCATTAAGCAGCCCATAACTGTCATTTAAAAACTTTAGTACTTCCAAATTAGAAACAAAATAACTGCTGTATTAGATTTTGTTATGTTATGCCTTGTATCTAGATGCTTCCTCAAAGCCTTATGCTGTCATAGGTGGGGAGTTTCAAATGTGGCTGGATTAGGGTGTGTGATGCTAGGATTAAGAGTGCCCCACCCTGGGTACCATCCTAAAGGCAAGTAGTCTGGATGAACTACAAAGGGATAGAAAGAAGCTGCTCTGTTACTTTGCTGCCTTCTGTCTTCCCTGCCCCACTATGGACTGTTTCTCCTCTACAATGCCCCTCCACCATGCCACCCTACCTTGGACCCAGCTGCCTATAGACTGAAACCTAGGATAATCAATAAATGTAGCTATCATAAACCTTTTATCCTTTAACTTTGGATGTCCAGTATTTAGTCTCAACCACGAGAAAAGTAACTAAGACATGTGGTTGCTTTGGCTTGTTGGACTGTAGCTGAGGCCAGCTTCTTAAGAACATTATTAATAAAGGAAAAGTTGGCTGGGGATTTAGCTCAGTAGTTCTGCTGCTTGCCTCCCAACTGCAAGGTCCTGAGTTCAATCCCAGGTACCCCCCCAAAGGAAAAGTGATGTAGCATCTGACATGGAACGTTTGCTATTATTAATATAAAGACCAAGGGTCCCACTTGTCTCCTTGTAAATTCTACAAGTAGCACAATGCTTGGATCCCAGGAAACAGGAGCCAGTTTAGAAGAAGTGGGCATCTACAATGACTGAGATTAGTCTTACATCTTGGATGAGTAAGTGGCATTTATTGAGCTGAAATATAAACTTGAACATCTTTAATTCAGCAACACTGATTAGGCATTTGTTGTGTGCCAAGCTCGGTGCACCTTCAGGGAAGCAGAGGTAGAAAGAATAACCACCACCATTACTGTATGTTAGGCAGTGTAAGTCTCTGCAGAAGGTATTTCATACAAGTTAGGGACCCTTATCTTCATTTTCCTTGGAGGAAACTGGCTTTGAGAAACTATGAGTACTTGCCAGGCCATTTCACTTTTACAGCCATCCCAGAACCTCACTTCCAAATCAATACCCTGCACTTCGCAATATACACGCTTAGTAAATTGTTCTGTATTATTAAGAACAAAATGAGCCCCTGAGCATCAACTGAGTTTATCTACTTCTCTCTTGAGAACTATAGATGTTGGCGGGGAGGTGGGGGGGTGTGGGGAGGGGGGAGGACCAGTGCCCTCTCGGGTCTCAAGATCATCCCACTTCTAACGCCTTGAACTGTTAGGTCAGAAAGAAAGGTAAAGAGATGAGAGAGGTTTTGTTGACCCTTTGAATCCTCTACAGATCTTCCGTCCATCCCTAGGGAAGAATGCTGTATCCGAAGCTGCCTCAGTTTCCCAAGTTGCACAGAGTCGCCAGATTTCTTTGCTTTCACAGCCCTGCGCGACTGCCACACAAAATACCAAACCTTGGGCAGGAACCAAACGGTCACTTCCCCGCCCTCTGGGCGCAGTATGCAAATCCGAGCACCAGGAAGTAGCTGGGACCTCTCGGCCGAGCCCAGCTACTGCCAGTTCCTCTCCCACCGTGCGGGGTCGCGCC